GTACAAATCAGCCAGGCCGAATAAATATTTCCAAAATTAATACCTGATTTCCTTTGGTATAAATGTTTATAACAAATTTTTCCACAGATTATCAACCGGCAATTTAAGGTTATGAGACCATCACACTTCCTTAGATAATTTTTTTTCTCTATTCCATCTGCACAGTTAAAAAATCTTTTTCCATTCAGAAAGTGTTCGGTAATAATTTAGTAAATATCCAATTATCATGAGATCTGATTATTTATATTTGCGATGCGCTTGGATTAATTTTTGTTGTCAGACATGTGGCCGAGAAGAGTCGATAGTATCTAACCACGATTATTAGTATATTCCTCACTGCGTATTCTTACAATTATTTCACGCCTGGCTCAAAACCAAGTTTAAAAACGATTTCAAACAAACACAAATTTTTCATTAATAACACAATTAATTATTTATATAAAACAAACTATACTACGGACATCCAACTACGACCATTTCCCAAATTGGACTCGGTGCTTGGGTCAAAATATAAATCCAATTTCCTAGGATTTTGCTAATGTAGATAGTTTAGTCAAAAAATATCTCGTTAAAATAATCACAATTTCTTTCCTTATTTAAAATATCTCCACAATTTCAATTTACAGAATGATCGAAAATATATCAATGTTGCTCCACACACATAAACTATAAATAAGAATGATATGTGTTATATTGGCAAAATATTTTAATACTTTAAGACTTACCCCGCTTATCGGGATTACGTGCTCTCCGTCCACTGACTCTCACGAAAGTGATTTACATATTTGTGACGAAAAGACGCGACAATCATTCGGATTTCCGATGGTTCCCGATTATACATTTATATCATTCGTCATCCCATACTCACAAACATAGAAAATTCCTTACAAGATATGTAGATATCACAGCCATATTATATTGAAAAATATGTGATATCCATAGTCATGGATGCTGCAGCCATATGTAATGGCTGGCTTTGAATGGTTAGAGCAACAAGAGAAATATGGTTGTGTTATCCATAGTTATGGGAAAGGAATCCATAGAAATATAGATGTGTTATCCATTTAAATAGAAAGCAGTTTAATAAAATAAGTAAGATACACCTATATTCAATGGATAATAGACTCGTGGTAGCGAACGTCAACGTAAACAATTAGCTGCCTTTGGACCCATGTCACTTACGCTATTTTTTATTCGCTTTTAGGTTATCTGACGGCCCGGTGAAAAAGCCATTCTTTTGTTCTGCCGTTTGAAAATGGAGTCCATTTTTACCCTAGGGCAAATATGGACACCATTTTCAGACGGGAGAATAAATGATTGGCTTTACACCCGGACGTCAGGTGTCTAAAAGCGCCATGTTCATGTTTGAGAGATAAAATGGTATATTTTATGTATATACCGCATATAGATAAAACTTTTCTATAAGCTGCGTTTATTTTATACAGATGCTTTTAATTATTATTACACACTACTTATAGAATAACCGCACATTTACGAATTAAATTATTAACCAATGGGGGATACGAACCCTAGACCTGAAAGCATGTTCAATTTTTGTATAATTTTCTTGCACATAATTCATAAATTGGTATGGTTCAAGTACTAGTTCGTCACCATCAAGAAAACTTAAAATTCGTGAAACATTGTTATAGAATTTTCTATTAAAATGTAAATAGATTTGTGATCTGTTTAAAGACTTCATTAGTCCAAAACTAATATTACTAAAGAAAGATGCAGCAAAATATGTGCACGAACAGCATGACCCGATAAGATTTTATGAACGGTTCTCTGCGTAAATAAGTTTTATCAAATCTTCAAGTCCACTTGCATACCTAATATAGTACCCTATGATAGCCAAATACGACATTAAGCAAGAGATGAAAGCCTCCAAGTCTTACTACCACTTTATTTAAGTCGTTTAATGGATCTATTTTTGCAATAATATCGCGCGCTTTTCAATATAGCGCGAATAAAATTAAAATTAAATTTTAAAAAATTAAATAAAATTAAAGCTTCTTTAATAAAGGAAGTGTAGTCAGGGTTGGACATAGTTTTAACTTTTTACTAAAATTTCCCCTGTAGGCCAAATTTTGAGATTTCTCGCATATGGTTCGAAAGATCTACTAAAATGCAATGTTTTTGCTAAACATTGTAAAAATATTTGACCAAAAGTTTCGGAGTTATAGTCAATTAAAAAAAAAATATTCATGGTTGAACCAGGTACACCGAAAAAACGATATTCTAATTTTAAGAATTTTCAACTTATTTTAAGAATATGCGAGACTTAAATAGGCACCACGAATATATTCTTAAATTAAGAATAGAATCTTCTTATATTAAGAATATTTTCTTAGAATATAATCTTAAAATAAGTATATTTTCTTCTTGTATCAAGAAATATACTTTTAGCAGTTTTCAGAATACTATAAACTTAATTTAAGAATAGTAAATACTTAATTGAACCGCCGGATCGTAGAAGGGCATACGCGTGAAATCCAGCGCTTTAAGTTGGCCCCTGACATGAAAAAAAAAAATTTTTTAGTTTTGATTTTTGAATATTATATCTTTGTAGAGAATAAAATTACGCAACTTTTTTCTCAATAAAGTTTTTTCTTAAAGTGAATTGTTTTCAAAATAATTGCAAAAAACTTGATTTTTTATACCGTAATATTTCATTCAATTTTATGTTCAACTCGTCATAAATCCGAAGTTTTTTGACTTTTTGACTTCAGATTTGGAGAATTTACTCATCAAAGTGTCCCAAAAGTGTTAGATGAACAATAAATAAATTAAAATAATAACTAACATTTTTATTAATTTATTTATGTTAAAGGAAAAAAAAAATTATTTAATACTTTCAAATGAAAAAAGTCTGTGACGAACTTTCGAATTGGAAAAACTTCCAGTGGAAGAATTGTTTATAATAGTTCAAAAAAGTTTTTCCAAAAGGTTTTAAACTAATTTGATTAAACATTTAGAATTTAATTCCTTTCTAAAAAGGAAGGAATTCAAAATGCATTTTGAATTAAACCTTCCTTTTTAGAATACTTTTTAAATAATTGCACTCTTAAAAAACGAATTGTACGTAAAAACTATTTTCTATAGACACTCAACAATATAGGAATAGCTATGTTTATGTTTACAAATAGAGGACGGACTGGGTAAAAGAACATAGCGGGAGAAAAATATCAAAAACTTTAAAATAATAAATATTGAATTTGAAACATTAATAAAATATAATACATACAAAAAATAAAAATTATATTTTTTAAAAATTGTTTAAAAATGTATATTCAAAAATATTCAAATAATTTTTTAAAAACTAAAAGTCTTTACAATAAGTAAATATCCAGGATATAAAGCATCACGCCACTATTACTATACTCACGGCCGGTCCACGCGCGGCGTACAAAAAAGTAAAACTGTTATAAATTCTAAATGTTTAATCAAATTAGTTTAAAACCTTTTGGAAAAACTTTATTGAACTATTATAAACAATTCTTCCACTGGAAGTTTTTCCAATTCGAAAGTTCGTCACAGACTTTTTTCATTTGAAAGTATTAAATAATTTTTTTTGGCCTTTAACATAAATAAATTAATAAAAATGTTAGTTATTATTTTAATTTATTTATTGTTCATCTAACACTTTTGGGACACTTTGATGAGTAAATCCTCCAAATCTGAAGTCAAAAAGTCAAAAAACTTCGGATTTATGACGAGTTGAACATAAAATTGAATGAAATATTACGGTATAAAAAAATCAAGTTTTTTGCAATTATTTTGAAAACAATTCACTTTAAGAAAAAACTTTATTGAGAAAAAAGTTGCGTAATTTTATTCTCTACAAGGATATAATATTCAAAAATCAAAATTAAAAAATTTTTTTTTTTCATGTCAGGGGCCAACTTAAAGCGCTGGATTTCACGCGTATGCCCTTCTACGATCCGGCTGTTCAATTTTAAACCAAAATATACATAATTTCAAATAAAGAAAAAGTACAGCATTTTTATTTTAAAAATATAACTTTTATTAAAGTTTTCAAAAAAGAACACAATTTTAATACTTAAAGACAATGTTAACCAATTGTCGAACATTTTTTTCAATTTGGGATCACAAAAACTTAAATTACGTAGATAAGATTAAGATAAAATTATTACGCTAAAATTATACAAACTTAAACGGTAACTTCTTCCATTTTTCACTATGATTGTCAAAAAAAACACTCCGACGCGCACGACGACTCGTTAGTCAATGGCGACGCGAACAAGCTAGCAGCACGTCAATTCTAGCACATATTCTTGTTTTAAGAAGAAGAAGATTTAGTACATAGAAAATATTCTTAAAGTTAGAATCTGCTTAAATTGGTGCTACCGGAAGATGATAAGTTATCACCAAAATGTATTTAACCCTAGAAAGCACATCTGAAGTAGAAAACTACCCTAGAAAAAATTCAAATTTCGGTATTTTTTGCAGATTTTGTGTTTTTTGGTGTGGTTTTTGTAATTTTTTGGCCATATTTTTGATGCTATCAAAAAACGCTATCTTCTTCCTTATAAAAAGGAAGAAAATTATTTATAATAAAGTTATTTTAAATAATTTTTTGCTACAGCAGTGTTTTTAATAACCGGTTTTTTTACAGTAGTTTTTTAAAATAATTTTAAAAAGAAGTTTTTATCTTTTGGCGACTAATAGCGAAACAAACTTTTAATGTCTTCGATTTTATCTTTGGAAATTTCTATGTCACTGAATACGGCTTATATTCGTAAATATAATAATTGAATTATTATATTCAATATTCAATAATTACTCAAAATCAAGTTGTCTTGAAAATGGACTTTCAAAGCTATTACAAAATAAATTAATATAAAAAATACATTTCAGACAAAAATTAAAAAATTTTTTTTAAAAAAAAGGAATGTTGTATACTTACATAAAAAACTATACTACATTTTTTTGTATATATATATATATTAAAATTTTAATTTTACTATTTTCAACAGAATTGAATTTTTGTGAAGGAAACTAATATAAAAGAAAAGGAGGATGATGCAAAGAAGAGGAGGTAAGCGGATCCGCATGGACGATCCAGTACCTCCAGAATACGAGCCACCAATGACTCCAATGCATGATAATTCTGGAGGTGATGCTCAAGATACAACTTATACGCCTTACACTCCTTACCATCAAGCTTCACAAACACCAGTTCACAATCCAACGTAAGCATTAATCTATTTCTTTATTACATTGTGTATATAAAATTCTAAGAGAAATTTAGCTCAGCATCTGTACTTTTCGAGGCACAGATATCACTCTACAACAAAATTTAATTTTGCTTTCTCTCTTCACGCACGGTGCGTCAGAAGGAGGTTTAAATAAATATGAGTTGGCACTTAAAAATTCTTTCTGATTATGGTTCTTAAATAAATAAAAACCATTTTTCAATAGGTTTTAAAATCAAGTTACGTGCCAAATTTAAAAAAAATTGAGTTTTAAATATATAAAAATAGTGTTTTATGAGGAACCAGAATTTATTTAATGTATACTTATATGCGTATAGATAAATAATAGATGTTTTAGATTTGGGTTCATATAAATTTATTAACATTGAAGTTATTTTCTTGTTTTGTTTGTATATTTATGCATTAAGAGTGTCGAACGGTATCTGAAATTCTGTAGCAAGAAGACAGTTTTAACTATCGCTCTCAACGTGAAATAGTATTCATTTTAAAATACTTTTTTCTCGAAACACAAACACTTTTAACAAAATCAGCCAAAATCCTCATCTTATAAATTTCCTAAATCCAAAAGATGGTACGAATCCATAGAAAAACATGGTTGCAAAACAAAAAGTAGAACAGTAATCTAATAACAGCTGCGACTTTGTGCGCCCTGCATGCTACTGCCATCTGACGGCGGCAGTAGGTAATGTACCTGTCATTATATTACTTTTCGTTTTGCAATCGTGTTTTTGTATGGATTCGTATAATCTTTAGGATTTAGGAAATTTATATAAGATAAGGATCTCTAGCTGCTTTTGTAAAAAGTGTCCGTCTTTCAAGAAGAAAGTATTTTAAAATTAATGTTTATCATTTTCACGTTTAGTGCCGTTTTTATAGGGCGATAATTAAAAGTCTCTTCTTTCCAAAGAATTTCAGAGACCATTCGACTATCTTAAATAAATTTTGTCCCTCTTAAAATAGTTCTTTTAACATTATAATTAAATTATTTAAAATCGGATACAAACACTACAGCAATATAATTATTTATATGGGAACGTTCACATATGACGTCACGCATTAGGGGGTAGGGGGGGGTCTTGGTCAAACGTGACAAAACGTGACATGGCGTACGGGGGGTTCAGTTCCTTCGTGATGTCATGAAGTATGTTTACTACTTTTATAGTAGAATTTTGAATTTGATACCTTTTCCGCTGTGATTATTAATAATTAAAAATCAAGTATTACTTTTAATAATGAAATTAATTTTCATTGTTGGAAAAATGAGTTATTAAACTTTAAGTTTAATAACTTTGTTTAAGCAAAAAATATTTATAAGTATATAATTGCAAGAAAAAATAAATTATTTTTATCAGAAACCCTTTTTATTACATTTAAGTAATCTTAACATTTATTATTTCTTTAAAAACAATTTTAATACCTTAGAAAATTTTTAAGATTTAAAAAAAACAAAAAAAAGGGGGGGTATTTAAAGAACGTGACGTCCATTATCAAGGGGGTCTTGTCAAATCGTGACAGAGCGTGACAAAGGGGGGGGGGTAGGGGTGAAAAAAGCTGAAAATTAGCGTGACGTCATATGTGAACGTTCCCTATGTAAAATTAAAAATAAGTAATTATTTTATCATTTATTAAAGTATTTATTAGATTAAATAAATTCTGATTTCCCATAAAATTACTGTTTTTTATATAAAAACTAATTTTTTTTTTTAAATCGGGCACGTAAACTGATTTTAAAAACTATTGAGAAATGTTTTTTATTCATCTAAGAATCATAATCAAAAAGAATTTTTAAGTGCCAATTCATTTTTATTTAAATCACATTCTGGCGCATCAGACACACAAAATCTTGTGTACAAATTATCTCTAATACACTTTGATGGATTGTCCTGAAATTTGATAGGCTTATTACAGTTATCAATACCTAAAATCAGACACAAGGATTTCCTAAAATATCCACATAATTTTTTTATGTCACTTTTTTAAAAATTCGAAAATACGTTTTTTAACGAAAAATTTTTTTACACTGTAAATATAATTTTTTTGTCCAAAAAACTGATTTCTCGCATTAAAACAAATTGATTAACCTATATAAAGTCTATATTTTACTTAAAATCTATAAATTATATCATTTTTTAATGAAAATTTGTAATAAATTTTGTCAAAACCGTATTTCTGGCATGAAAAAGAATCGATTGATGTAAATAAAGTTTACATTTTACCAATATTTGTAAAATTGATCGCTATTTTATTTGTAATCCTTCTTTTAATCTTGAATATAAGTGTATCATGATGAGGAAGCTAAATGGTCATGAATCTAACACCTTGTTTTTTATTTCTGGGACCACATAGGGTGATTCCTATAGGTTTTTTGATGCTAAACACAAATCTATAATCAGAATTGCTCCATCATCCTAGGTTTTCGAGAAATTTGACCATGAAAATTGAAAAAATGCCGTTTTTAGGGTACTTTTTGATTTTTTATAACGGTACAAAAATTTTTCTGACTTTTTCGTGATATGCATATGAAAGCTCATATCCTCGTTCACAATTTTCAATTTAGATCTTTCAAAAATATTTATTTTTATATGAGTTATCTTTGTTTGAACATCAACTAATTCTACATGGCAAAATGTGGTGAAAATTTCACCATAAAATGGCATTTTTAAAAAAAACCACCAAAAATTTTAATTTTTTCATTTTTCTTCGTTCAAACACGAGCTATAGGCATCTACTAACAGAAAACATTTGGTTTTTAATTTCTGATGAATCTGTCATGGCTTATACTAACAACGCCAAAATAACTTTTTTTGAAGCGTCACAGAAGACGAAGTCCGAATGGCTAAATTTTTAATATTTCTTAACGAAAATTTCACAACTTACTCTTCAAATATGACCTATTGATATGTAAATTGTTTGAATAAAATATTTCATTTTATCTAGTAGAAAAAAAAATTCGTAAAGATATGCATATTTGGGCTTCCGAAACACCTAACTCCTTAAAGATTTCTAACTAACATATTAAATTTCTGAAGCCAAATAAAAATTAGAACCTTACAGAGGATAGCAGATATAATTTCTAAAAACAGAATCAAATCGAAATTCATTTTAAACCTCATAGAAATCTCATCTGCTGTCTGTTAAGATCTAGTTCGTTTTTATTAATATCTATTAGGCATATTTACTAGGGAACACTTTTTAAAATTTTCTAATGTACGGAATGTTCTTACCTTTTTAATTCTTGGTTCTATTTTTATTTCAATGTAGACCGGAGCATTATTCTTCTGAAGGATACAGTTCTCCTGGATTATCGCAACCATTGTACCAAGAACAGTCTACAAATTTTGAAAATGTATCTCAATTTGAACAACCAATGACTCCAGTAACTCCTGCTAATATGAGGATTACTCGAAATACTCGTGCTCGCCTTCGTGGTAAATATAATAATAATTATTATCACAACCTTTTTTTACATGGTAATTTTTGTTGGAGATGGTACTATGGCTCATTTTAATAACAGGTGGTCCAATTCAACAACCCAAGTACAAAGAAATTGATACAGACTATATTCCAACAACATCTACAAGAGGAAGAGGAGGAGGTCGCGGTCGAGGACGACGCGTTTATCAAGCACAGTCTTTGGAAGATGAAGCTAGTTTATACTTTGTTATAAAGAACAATCGTTCATCTCTTACTGTACGCATTTACAATATTTTCAATTTAATTTTAATTATTTATATTTTCCTATGTAAATAAATAATCATTTTTCTAATAATTATATTGTTAATAGAATATTGTTGACGATTGGATAGAAAAATACAAAGTTAATAGAGAAAATGCTCTCTTGATGTTGATGCAATTTTTTATAAACGCTAGTGGTTGTAAAGGACGTATTACATCTGATATGCAAACTTCAATGGAACATGTACAAATTATACGAAAAATGACAGAAGAATTCGATGAAGTAAGCTACTTTTATTATCTCTCTAAAAAGAATCTCTCATTTTTCAGTAACTCATTTTTTATTCTGTTTTCAAATTTTTGTTTCTTCTCATAGGAAAGTGGAGAATATCCATTAATAATGGCAGGACAACAATGGAAAAAGTTTCGAACCAATTTTTGCGAGTTTGTTCAAATTTTGGTTCGTCAATGTCAATATTCAATAATTTACGATCAATTCCTTATGGATAATGTAATTTCTCTTTTAACTGGTCTTTCTGATTCTCAAGTGCGTGCCTTCAGACATACTGCAACACTTGCAGGTGAAAAATTTAAAGCATTATATTATAGTAAATAAATTCTTAATAGTTTAATAATATTTTTTTATATTTTCACAGCTATGAAACTTATGACAGCATTGGTGGATGTTGCTTTAACAGTGTCTATTAATTTAGACAATACACAACGACAGTATGAAGCAGAAAGACAAAAAGCAAGAGAAAAACGAGCAGCTGACAGACTTGAATCTCTCATGTCTAAGCGAAAAGAACTCGAGGAAAATATGGATGAAATCAAAAATATGCTTACATATATGTTTAAATCTGTATTCGTTCATCGATATCGTGATACTCTTCCTGAAATACGTGCTATTTGTATGGCAGAAATTGGTGTTTGGATGAAAAAATTCCATCAGAATTTCCTTGATGATTCATACTTGAAGTATATAGGTAAATCATAATTTTTATGTCTAATTTTATAATTTTTAGAGACAGTAACTTTGAGCAGAAAAGCATAAATTTTAAAATATGTATTAAAACATATTAATTGACAAAGATATTTGCAATTTGCAGAAGCATTAAAAAATATAATTTAGGTTCCTAAGCAGCATAATACGGCATAATTTGATAAGTTGAGGCATAATATTCAAGTATTTTCGTAAATATTGTAAATTTAACTAAAAATTTTTCTAAATTACTTAATTTTCAAAGAATCTTATTAAAATTATTGAAAGTAAATAGGTAGATTGGTGCCTAATTCAAATTAACATTTTTTAAAATAATTAAATTTTAGAATATTATCAGTTAATTTTTTTACAGCAATAAAATTTTAGATTTTCACTTAGAAATTATAATATTTAAATGCTTGAAATACTTTACACAAATTTCTTTAAAAAATTTATTTACATTTTTGAAAATGATTTGATATTTTGAAAAGATGCCATTCAAATTTTCAATATTCATTAATTTAAAAAATTGGTTAAATAGGTATATTTAAAAAAAAAACCAAGTATAATTTTGACATTTTCGGAAATGACTTTTTCACTTTTTTGAAGTTTGACTTTTAGAAGTAAGAAAGTAGAAAGAAAGTAAGTATAAATTCCATTAAAAACAATTATGATATAATTAAAATTAAAAATAATGGAAATAAAAAAAATATAAAAATAATTAAAATTACGAATATGATATCAGATTTGCAAAAAATTTTAAAATTCGAAAAGTTACATCCAATAAGGCGAACGAAAAATTAAAAAAATAATCGGTCTCGCTAGAAACATATTTCTCAGGAGTTTTTGGGGGTCGTTGACTACGAATATTACGAATTTCATGTCAAAATTGGCAAAATTTACGAATTTTTCGAAATTCAAAATGACGGATCCAATGTGGCGGAGAAAGAAGTAAAAATCTCACAGATTGATTTGAAACTTGTCACTCGGGGGTTTTCGCGGTCGTTGATTACGAATCTGAGATCTGCTTTTAAAAAATTCAATACGGCGGACGTCAAAAATTAAAAATCACACATATCTACTTCAAACTTGTTACTTGGAGGTTTTTGGGTCGCTTATTACGAATTTCATGTTAGATTTGTGAAATTTGCAATTTGAGGGGTTTTCGTTTTGGTCAGTGCGAATTTCACAAATCTAACATGAAATTCGTAATCAGTGATCCCAAAACCCCTTGAGTAACAAGTTTAAAGTAAATTCGTGTAATTTTTAATTTTTTTATCCGCGATATTGAATCTGTAGCGATTTTTATGCGTGACTGAAAGGGTTATTAAGTAAGAAATCACTAAAATAAAAACTCTTGTATATGAAAATTCAGTTCAATATTGTCTGCTTTATAAAATTCTTGTAAATAGAAATTTGGAAAGTTGCAAAATAAATAGTTGTTAAGAAGTAATTCTTAAATTTTAATTTAATGGAAGAGTATGAAAATTGACATTTATTGAAAAGATGGAAAAAGTGGAATAAATACGTGATTAATTTGAGAGAAGAAAAAAAGGGGATATACTGAAAAATATAAAAACACAATTTTCTGAAAAATTTGTCTAACAATTTTTTTCGTTTTGGTCTTAAATTACTCAGAAAACATTGTAGAAACAGTGTCATAATGATTGGGTTAAGCTTTGTTACGACCGTCTTTATCACCATTTTTCGAAAAATAATTCACCTGTTTTATGTAAAGAAGGTTCTGTAATATTCCCTTTCGAAAATTACTAATAAAAATGAATATTTTAGGATGGACACTTCATGATAAAGTAGGAGAAGTAAGATTAAAATGTCTTCAAGCATTACAACCATTATATGCGTCAGAAGAATTGAAAACAAAACTAGAGCTCTTCACAAGTAAATTTAAAGATCGAATAGTGAATATGACTCTTGATAAGGAATACGACGTAGCTGTACAAGCAGTAAAGCTTGTTATTTCTATTTTGAAACATCATCGTGAAATTCTTACCGACAAAGATTGTGAACATGTTTATGAACTTGTGTATTCATCGCATCGAGCAGTTGCTCAAGCAGCTGGAGAATTTTTGAATGAACGTTTATTTACTCCAGATGAGGAGGCTCTTGCTGGAATTAAAACTAAGCGTGGCAAGAAGCGTTTGCCGAATACTCCTTTAATTCGAGATTTGGTATTATTTTTTATTGAATCTGAACTTCACGAGCACGGTGCTTATTTAGTGGATTCTTTGATTGAGACCAATCAAATGATGAAAGATTGGGAGTGTATGACTGATTTGCTGCTTGAAGAAGCTGGACCAGAAGAAGAAGCACTAGACAATCAAAAAGAAACATCTCTCATCGAGTTGATGGTTTGTTGCATAAAGCAAGCTGCTACAGGTAAGATTTTTGTTTCTTTTTTTACATTTTATTCCCTTCTCTTATTCTATCTCCCTTCAGGTATTTTTTTATTGACTTAAATTTAAAATAGTAAACTATTGCATTCAGGTGAAGCGCCAGTTGGTCGAGGGCCAACACGTAAAATTTTATCTGTAAAAGAATTGAAACAAGTTCAAGAGGATAAACAAAGACTTACCGAACATTTTATTCAAACGTTGCCTTTATTATTGGATAATTATAGTGCCGATCCGGAGAAACTTGCAAATCTTCTAGCTATTCCACAATATTTTGATCTGGATATTTATACAAAATCGAGACAAGAGCAAAATTTAAATTCTTTATTGAATAAAATACAAACAATAGTAGAAAAGGTTCATGATACTGAAGTTCTTGATACGGCTGCAAGAACTCTGGAGTACATGTGTGTTGAGGGTCATGCAATATTCACAAGGTTTAAAATTTTTTTTTTATTTAGTGTTTCTAGATTGTATAGAATATTTAAAACTTCAAATTATGTAAAATATCGCTCAATATTAATATCTGAAAAACATTAATCATATCATTATTTTAAATACATTTTATTTTTTAGATGTGATATTGCTCGTTCCACTTTAATTGATGCGATAGTTAATAAATATAAGGCAACAATTGAAGATTACAGAACAACCGTTGATGGTAATGAAGAACCCGACGAAGATGATTTGTTTAACGTTACTCAATCTTTGAAAAAAGTTGCTACATTTTACAGTAGTCACAATATGAATCCTTGGGAAATATGGGACTCGCTTTACAAGGACATTGTAGATGCATTTTCAAAGTTAGTTTTTTTAAAGAACTTTTATAGTAGACTGTAAGAATAAGAATATTGACTGTAAGAATATTTAAATATTGAATTGCAGAACTGAAGATTCCCGAAAGGGATTACTTCCTGAAGAGGCAATTAAATATTGCATCACTGCCTGTTATTTTTCAATTTTATGGGGTCAACATCATCTCATGGAAACAATTGATTCTGGTGCTCGAGGTGAAGAGGACTGTCGTCGCTTGAAAGAACGTTTGAATGCTTTCATGGGATTGATGCGTAACTTTGTCAGTGGTGACAATTGCAATGCAGTGAGTAAACAATCAATCGTTTTTTAGAATTTAATTTCTTTTCAATTCAATTTCCATAGATTTTTTACACTGATTACGAATCTGTTTAATAGCCAATACCAGTGATTCTTCGTGAAGATGCTTATACAGTCATTTGTGATTTACTGGTAGTGTTCTGTAATCAGTTATTATCCAATCATAATCCTCTGATGCATGAATTAGTGTACGAACCAGACCATGCGATGCAGAACATGCTAAATAATTTCGTACAGGAATTCGTTTTTGTTGAGGAAGAAGACGGTAAGCCCTTAATATCTTCATTTTTTCAAACATATATTCAATTATATTTACTGGATTAGAAATTTTAAAAAAGAAGCTAGTTAACTTGATTAACATTATTTAAAAACTTTATAATGGATTTTTTAATAAAGAAAAATAAAAATATAATATTTTACTCTAGAAATTAATAAACAAAATATATACTAAAGTTCAAATTATCAAAATTTGTAAATAACCAATAATAATTAACTGAAAGAAAATAAACCAGCAAAATTAAATAAACAAAAGAATTATAAACAAACAAAACTTAAAAAAATATCAATAAATTAAGCCAAAGTCTCTTAGTCCATAACTATTGAGGAGAAAACAATTTCAATATTTTTTCAACTCTGTAGCGCTAAACTCAGCAAAAGTTGGGCGCCAGTTCTTTCTTGGAAGTTTTCTTAAAAGCAATTAAAATCAAAAATTTTAAATGGAACGAAATTCCAAAATACGGTATTGAACATCCAAAATTCAAAATACGGGGATACTAAATTGCTGGCTAGTTAGGGTTACATGAACAAAGGAATAAAGCGTCGGGGTCCGAAGAAAATATACTATTCTTGATAAATTAATTACAATGTTTATTCAATTACTTTCAAAAAAAACTCTAAGTTCACAATATTCTATGAAAAAAGTAAATTACAAAAATACAAAAAATGAATTTAATAAAAAATTTATATGAAGGCAACATGTGTTACTGCGCCAAGACAAATAAACGCCAGGAGCGTAGTTGCTGGTAAAAGTATACATATATCCCAAAGCAAACTACACACACAGTTTTCTGCTTCCTTTTGCTATAATTTCCATCCTTGTCTTTTATGTTGCAAACCTCCGAGAGTTTAGTGACGAACTCAACTCTCTTAATTATGATTTATCATAAATCAAAGATTTTAATTAAGGTCGAGAAAAATGTATAATTACTCGGACTTGACTGAAACGGAGAAATGACAGGAAATACTCCCTCAAATTGAACATTAAATTAAATATGATAACGATAATAAAATATTGCTCGGGGTTTTGGGTAACGATTGTTTATTTACAATTTTATATTCGCGATATAGTTATTTATTTATGTTTATTTACAAAAAAAATTAATTACAATCATGAAAAATTGTGCAACGTAACAACTTTTAATACATTTTTACAAAATACTTAATTTATTTCATGTACAAAATATAAAGAAGAATTAGATGAACATTCAAAGATTGAAGAGCTGCATAAAAGAAGAAATTTCCTTGCGAGTTATTGCAAGCTTATTGTTTATAACATGATTCCTACGAAAGCAGCCGCAGATGTTTTTAAACATTATGTAAAATACTACAATGATTATGGAGATATTATTAAAACAACTTTAGGAAAAGCGAGGGATATAAATAAAACTAATTGTGCACTTACAATGCAACACAGTTTGAATATACTTTACAATGAAAGTGTTATTGAAAAAGGAAAAATTAACAGAAATAGCGACGAGTTTACTGCAATCAAGGTAAAGAAAATTCAATAATCCTCTTCTGTTAAATGATAAATAATAATAAAATGTTAAATAAATTTTTGTACTTTTTCTCTAATTTAGGAATTAGCAAAACGATTTGCTTTATCCTTTGGACTAGACGCTGTGAAGAATCGTGAAGCTATTGCTGCTCTACACCGAGCGGGAGTTCTTTTTGCTATTACGCCACCTGATGGTGTTGAACTAGATCCAACGGGACCTCCACCAAATCTTTCCTTTCTTGAAATTCTTTCTGAATTTACGAATAAGCTTCTTAAGCAGGATAAACGTGTTGTGTACGTGATATTTTACATTTAAAAATTAAATAAAACTAAAAAAAAAATTAATAAAATCAAATTGAAATTTATTTTAGACTAAATTTTATGGATGGTCGTCTTCATGCTGGAATGCCTTCCTCGAAAACAGAAGACTGGCAGCCTTTATTATTGTATAGAAATAGTTTGTTACACGGCGATACTGATCAAGTACCTGTAACTAGCAAACGTGCATACACGAGACGCAAAAAGGATCATGCAGGTAATTTAAATTATTTTCATTAATTATTTTCGTGATTTTCTTCGAAATAACAAGATAGATTATCTGTTATTAATTTTAATTTTTGTAAAATTTTAGAAGAAGACGAAGTTGATGATGGCGATGACGGTTCGGACCACGAATTTATAGGGTAAGTTAATTTCAAAAATAATTGTTTCTTTCATGCGTAATAAGTTTTGTGGATTGCAATTCTTCTTATAATGATTCCATAACAAAATGTTCCCTTAAAAATATGCATGAAATGTTTGTTTACTGTTGAATTAGTTTTACAAAAGAAAAGAAAGTAATTAAGAATATCAAGCCTGAAATTATTTGAGTTCACATAATTTATATGGAAATAAAAAAATATAATTTTCGTAAAAATTAATTTATTTGTATAAATCTATCAAAAGTCTTAATTATATTTAAAGAAGTATAAAAGCTTTATAATTAGAAAAGCAACATTTGCATTTACAATACGGTCAATGGTGATACTTTTATTTTTTTAAAATTTTAAGTACAAATTAAAAAACAAATCTCCTATGACGTTAGCTTGTGTCTTTATTTATTTATGATGATATTTTCTTATGATATTATGGTCATTTTATTAAAATAATATACATTTACGTAAAACATATATCTTTTCTAACAATTTTTAAAAACAATCTTTTAAAAATTTATTTTCTTGAACTAATTTTTCACAACTTCAAGTGGTATACAATTCTTTAATTTTTGATTAAGAAAAATGAAACCGAGGGATATAATTGATAAAAACACTATATTAGCTTAGGGTTTATTTGGATGTTTGTCATTACTAATTTAGATTCATAATTGCATATAGAATAAAAGTCGCGAATCGTGTTTACATTTCGATGGCCCCCGATCGGTGGGTTAGCATGACCGAACAAACTCAGCAAGGTTTCAGTGTATTAAAAATGTCAATTCGGGAAGAGTCTTGTATAATAAAGAAGACACAGGTGTCTGGAAAGAAAAAAAAGTTTGCCTACGATGCCAAGAAAAATCATTGTTATCCAGTGGTTCCTTAGCACCCTTTGAAACGAGAAAATTTAACCCGAAAATCGTAGCTGTTCATTTAGGGAAGATTAAATTGCTTTTTAAGGATCAGAAAAAAGTTTTAAATTATTTTAATGATTTTTATTTGTGTGAGTGTGTTTGTAGGACCTCATTTTGTAGATACAATCGATTAAACAAAATTTACAAAAAAAGCTCGAATTCGTAACATTTCTTTTATTTAGGTTTTTTTTTGCATTTGAGTTTTGGATCGATGTATATTCCTAGGCTTTCCTAGTTGTGAAATAACGTCTGAAAATTTTGTGTCCTAGAATGATTCACTTTTAATTAGTGAAGACATTACCCATGAATGGATTTTGTCCATTTCACTTTCTTGAAATTGAGTTTTGATACCTGTAACTGTTATGTATTCCCACGTACAACCGTACACTCCACAATTTCCAATGTTTTTTTGTCTCTTTTTGTTTCGGAATATCTTTTGGTGTAAATATCGTCCATGTTGAAAAATCAATAAATTTTTCAAGTATTTTTTTTGTCATTCCGAAAAATCATAGATATCCACGTGTCTCTTGGTGAATTGTGAAGACTATCAAGGTAAACCACACAGAATTGTTGTGGGATGACTATCAGCATTGTCCAATGTTGACTATGATGAATTGGAAAAAGCCAAATATCATATTTTTTTGCACGAACTTGTTTACACCATTTAATAGCATCCTGATCACAATATTTTTCATTTATAATAGCAATTACATGCTGCGTATTAAATATCAATGTATTTGTGTTAGTACTTTGTTTTAAAATTAATAAGCCAAGACGTTAATGATACTATCGTCCAAATAGTTTGTTGGAAGCAATGATTTTAGACCGCATTTGTCTAATTGGATTCCTGATATATAAATTGTATTATTGATATTTAATTCTCTAAATTCTGCAGCGTCAGTCCACGGTTTTTTTATCAAATAATTATTATTTAACTTTAAAAATTTAGTATTTCCTTGGTCTTTTTCTATGAAAATTGGTGATTTACAAGTTTTAAGCCTTTTTGTATCTTGCAAATCATAATTTTGCCGTTTCGGATCTTTCCAAACTTCTATAGAAAAGTTAGGATCGTCATCTGAAATATCTGATTCATCAGACTCCGGGATTGATTTTGAGTCTGATAACTCAGAACTTAAAACTGAATTAATTTGCGACAAATTATTTTCTAGTTTTTTTGTTCACTTGCTCCAAAATTCTTTTCAACCTCAGAGTGTAAGTTTTCGATTAATTCTATCACAGATAAACCACACGCTTCATTTTCTAACACTTGAAAGAACTCATTTTTTTTATTTGTTTCACTTTTCAATATTACAAGAATAAATAATTGATTGTACAACTTTTTTTTGGATATCCTTGTATTTTTCTGAGACAGAAAAATTGTCAATCTTTTGATTGGCTGTATACATCATATATGATGAAACAACCTGAACAAGGATATATCGCGAGACAAATTTATGAATTTCCTTATCGTCAGATAACATTTTATCCCACAAACTTTGTAAATAACATTCTGTTGTCATATTATTCAATTTTTCAATAATACGTCAATTGTTTGTGGGTCAAAATGAAACTTAACGATTGTTATATACAGCTTTTTGCGTATTGAATGGCATTTTAATTGATAAATAAATTGAAATAAATGAAATGTTAAGCTTTTTTTCTTATTATTAGATGTAATAATGTCTAGTAAATGTAACGGCGTAGAATGCTAACCATTTTGAATAAGCAGAGGCCAATATTTTGGTCGTTCTTCGTCAAGAAAATTGTCCATACAAAAAATATTTTTAAAAGATAAGTAACAAAGAACTTTGTTTTTTAACTCAATTGTAGAAGATAATCAATTCGTTGGTGTTCAAATAACATCAGTAGGTACTTCAAATAGATGGGATCCAAGATGTTAAATAAATCCTATTATTTTTTTTAGAAAATGTAACTTCTGTCAAGTACTTTTCTTGCAATTCACGTAATTTCTTAATTGTTATAAAGAAGAAGGTTCCGTTGTTTTATTATATATTTTCTCCTTCTTTTACCTTTGCAAATATGCTGAAGTTATAGGAAACTCAACCTTTATTTTTGCAGTAACCACGCGCATAGAATATTCTACTATTTTTTGATACACTTCTCAAACATTTATGTTTCTTAAATGCAATATAACACATATTTTGTTAAAAGCGAGTCAAAAGAAAAGTAGTCCATCCTGCTTTTAATGTTAAACTGTTAATCTTGTACTTGTTAAAAAACTGCCAAGGTACTGCAAATATCAAAAAAATTTTATCATTTGTATGCTCCATTTATTTCCGCGGTAATGTTTCATTTGAAACTAAAACATTTAAATAATTTTGAAAATCTTTATTATGATCAATCATCTCCATTTCTTTTGGTGGTAATGTTTCGTTTGAAACTGAAACAGTAGTAGTAGTAGTTGCAGTAACAGTAGCAAATATGCTGAAGTTATAAGAAGCAAAACCTTTATTTTTGCAGTAGCCACACGGAGAGAAATCTGCTACGATTAGCTCACAAGACTTACGCGTGCGCTTTTCTCATGAGCTTCATTTGTTAATATCGCAAAGGCTTGTTCTAATATTGTACAGCTTGTACGAGTTTTGCTCGAAAGCCATAAAAAATCAGCATGGATTTCTTGTTATTTACGCAAGGTTGTTTCTGTGCTATTTTCGAAGGGACTGCTCATGCGCATAGAATATTCTATTATTTTTTGATACACCTTTCAAACATTTATGTTTCTTATATGCAATATTACACACATTTTGTTAAAAGTGCATTAAAAGAAAAGTAATCCATCTGATTCCACAAAAAATATTGACGTTTTCTAACCCCCCAAAAAAGTTCTTAATAAAAAATATTGCTAAAAAGTCAGTTTTCAGCCTAAGGTGTTGGAGGTTGTTTATTGCTAAAATAATTGTTTAAATTATTATTTATGTCAGCTTTCAATTGGTAACTTCAGAATTACGATAACTTTATTTGTTTATAAATATTTCATTTTTTATTAACATTAAATAATTAATTAATTAAAATCTCAAAAAAACAAAAAAGGACATATCAGTATTTTTTGTAGTAAAAATCCACATTTTTTACTTTTCAAAAAAAGAAAATCAAAATTTTTGGGTAGTTTTCTACCTCAGATGTGATTCTAGGTACGAACCAGCTATTTTGTCTATGGTTAAATTTTGCAAAAAATTGTCTTCCAAGGAGTTGTTTTATTAAAGGTTTGTGTGTACAATTTTTTTTTCATTTATTGATTTATATTATGAATATCCAAACGTACTAAAATAAAGTTACATACAGGATTTAATGTTTTACTTTTATTTTAACATAAGCGTTTTAAAAGTACTTATTATTTTTAATAAATTTTAAAATGTCTATATTTACAAAGAGAGAAGTTTTAGAAAATATTTCTTATGATAGTGATACAGAAGCGGGTGTACAGTATATATTGCAAAAAATTAATATTGATCCTAGCATTGTAAATTCTTCTAGTTTGCGTGAATTAAAAACAAATCAATCGTCAGTTAACCTCACCATCTTGCATAATACCAAAATCTGCTGAAAAAGCACGGGCTTTTTTACTAGATAATAGTTTATCAAGGAACGTTTTTACAAAATTGCGTTTAGCAACAAAATCAAGTGGAACATATATTTGGCCCACTTACAATAAAATCAAAGATGTTAAAGCTCAATGAAGGCCCCCTAAAGAGTATTTTATAATTACTAAAAAAGAAGCCAAAGTAAACCTTTAATCAATTTTAAGACATACAGCAGAAAGAGTTGTTCAACTTCAAAATGAAGTTATTATTGAAGCTGCAAAAAAATCAAATTCTAATATGCTTAAATCAGTATTCATTTTTTCCTGGGGTTTTGATGGAAGCCCCGGTCAGTCTCTTTACCAACAACGTTTTTTATCTCAAGAAGTTGATGCCGACAGTAATATTAAAGGAGTTGACGGAAGTTTGTTTGTTACAACCTGTAAGCCATTAAGATTAACAACTTCAACTGGTTTTATTCTGTGGAATAACTTAGCTTCTCAATCTAAGAGAATGTGTCGACCAATGTCAATTAAGT